CGTGAACAAGTCCCTGCTGTTTTCAGGGCAGGGTGTTTCGGAAGTGGTTTGCCAGAGCCTCCTTCCTAGAGCAAAGCCCAGCTGGCGAGTGCAGGAGGCGGGGTTTCCGTTGCTTCGCGCCTTTTTTTTCAGGCGTGCGCAGTTTCCGCGCTACCGGCAACTGCTCCCGACTCCTTTTTTTGCAAGGCGCTGCCAGCATTTTTCCTCCCACTGGAGTGAGAGTCCCCATTTACCTACTCATGTAAGTTTTCAAGCTGCTGGGTTGACAGGAGCTGAGGAGGAAGCAGGATCTGCGGCTACCCATCCTATTTGCTCCAAGTCCCATCAATTAAACAGTATAATCCAGTGAGACCCAGAAGGCAGGCCTTTTCAGTTGTAGCACCTGCCCTTTAGAATAGCATCCCTCCCCACCCCAGAGATCCACATGGCCCCCACCTTGCTTGTCTTTGAATGATCTTTGAAAATTTGATTGTGACCTTAGGTCTGAGACTACTTGGGTATTAAGGCCCTGCTGGACTCACCTTCAGATGAGGAGGAGGAGGAAGCAGAGCCAGGGGCTTCTGGGGATAATAGTCCTGGAAGTGGGGGTTCCAGCAGGATTGAAGCCCATGACTCCACTCTGGCTGAGGCAGATCCAGCAAGCCCCCAGGACTCCTGCATGCACCCACTGACAGCCTTTCAGCCTCTGAGGTTCACCCACCCAGGCCCAAACAGAGGCGTGCCTTAAAGATCCAACGTCAGAGGGATGAGCTCCACAGGCCAGATAGATGGCCGAGAAGCAGGCTGGCAGGAGAGCAGACTCTGATGTATGACATGCACCAGATGGAGGCTTGGCATGGCTGATTTACTGGCCCCACGCCCTGGGAGAAAACACTGAGAACAACTTTTCAAGCCTCAGCTCTGCCGTCTTTACTTTGCCATGCTTTGAACTCTGGATTCCACCTCATCGTGTCTCTTGTCTTGTCCCTTGGATTTGTCATTTGGTTATTGGATTCCTGGTCTCGACCCTTGACTATGTTACAGTTGCCGACTTTAACTACAGGTAAAAAGGACTCTTTTCCTCTAAAAGTCCTGCCTGAGTTTGCATATCACTGGACTGTGGGAGGCAGGTAGCCAGCTTGCTATCTAGTTGGCTGGAAGTCAGCCATGCCAGCACAAAAAATGAGTGGGGGTGGGGACTCCACTTTTAGAGGTAGGTACAATAGATTTATGTTTTGGTGGCTTCCCTCTATTTGCTGGTTATGTTTTAGGCTTTGTTTTTGATCTATTTCTGTTTTTAGTCTCTGTGAAGCCACCCAGAGTTAAGCAGTCTAGAAATAAGTTAAATATATTTGTTTTCTCAACCTTTCAGGAAGCAATATAATATCATAGTAACAAAAAAATTCTTAAAATATGAGAGCTCTTTTAAAAAATGAGTAGCGTAAAAGCAAAATTGTACTGCAGTTGCAGGGGAAGCCAGCTTACCTCCGAAATAATAGCTGTGCCCTGAATAAATCTGTGAAATGGTGGTAGCATGAACAGCTGATGCTACATCATTATCAAGAGTTAAGGTGATGCGATGTCTTCTAGCATTGATGTTAACTGAGTGCCATAGGCCATCATAGAGATTGTTGCCTAAGAAACAAAGAAGTATTTTATTTTATTTATTCATTTATACATCACATTTATATAACCACCCATCTCACAAAGCGACTCGGGGAGGCGTACAACAATTAAAATAACAAGTGAATAAAAATAGGCATTATAAAAAGATAAAAAGTTATTATTAGAATAAAAACATTATCACAAATTAGAAAAGACTTTTAAAAAGATTTTAAAATATACAAATGGAGAGAGCAGAATATCAATTACAGTGGAGCCATCTAAGAATGTCTCTGGTTCCCAAAGACCCCCAGGCCTGATGACACAATGACAGCAAGGAAAGGGCGAGCCTAACTTCAGGGGGGAGAATGTTCCACGAGGAGGGAGCCACAGCAGAGAAGGCCCCCCTCCTGGACCCACCAAAAGCAAGTCCCTGGCTGATGGACCATGTAGCATACCTTCCCTGCCAGATCTAATGGGGCGGGCTGATGTGATCGGGGAGAGGTGGTCCATCAGATAACCTGACCCCAAGCCATGAAGGGCTTTAAGGTCAAAAACAGCACCTTGAATTCGACCCAGAAACAACCAGCAGCCAATGCAACTTGCAAAGCAGAGGTGTAATGTCTGCTCTTCTTGGAGCATACATAACTGCCCACACTGCCGCATTCTGCACCAGTTGAAGCTTCCAGATATTCTTCAAGGGCAACCCCATGTAGAGCACATTACAGTAGTCCAATCTGGAGGTGACAAGGGCATGAGTGACTGTGAGCAGAGCCCCCCGATCCAGGAAAGAGCACAATTGGTGCACAACACAGAGTTGTGTGAAGGCCCTCCTAGCCACGACTGCCACCTGTTCTTTGAGCAGGAACCATGAGTCTAGGAGGACCCCCAGATTGCACACTGGGTCTGTCTGGGGCAGTGCCACCCCATCCAGCACCAAAGAAGGTATAGCCCCAGAACAGGCAGGACCCCAAACCCAAAGCCACTCAGTCTTGCCAGGGTTCAGTTGAAGCTTGATGTTCCCCATTCAGACCCTCACAGCCTCCAGACATTGGGATAAGGCACCCACAGCATCACTTACTTCACCAGGGGCAGAGATGTATAGTTGGGTATCTGTCCTCCCCAACCACCACCAACTGGAATTGGCCCTGGAGGAAGGAGGTCAACCAGCACAACACAGTGCCGCCCACCCCCAATCCCCTGAGCCAATCTAGAAGGATGCTATGGTTGATGGTATTGAAAGCCATTGAGAGGTCAAGTAGGCAAGGATGGATACACAACCTTCATCCCACCCATGCCAGAGATCAACCAGAAGTGCAACCAATGCTGTTTCTGCACCATACCCAGGTCTGAATCCAGACTCAAAAGGATCCAGATAATCCGCTTCATCCAAGGGCCTCTGAAGCTGTTGTACAACCACCCTCTCAACCACTTTATCCAAAAAAGGGAGGTTAGATACTGGACAAAAAATTGTCTGGTATGGTGGGATCTAGCGATGGCTTCTTGAGGAGGGGGCACACCAGAGCTTCTTTGAGAGGCATCAGAACAACCCCCTCCCTCAAAGAAGAATAAACTACTGCTAGAGCCCACTCACATAACATCCCTCGGGCTGCTTCCAGAAGCCACGAGAGGCATGGATCTAGGGAGCAGGTGCTGAGCTCACAGCTCAAAGGACCCTGTCCATTTCCTCAGGTCCAACAGGTTCAAACCATTCCCAGATAACTGGGCAAGACTCCACCCCAGGCATGTCCTCTGGACCCATAGCAAAACCAGTGTCCAATTGCAAATGAATCTGAATGATTTTATCTGACAAATGCTAAGCAAATTCCTCTGCATGCCCCTGTAAAAGGTGCTCCAGGCCCCTTTTACCCAAGAGGGCTCGTGTCACCAAAAAAAAAAAAAGGGGGAAGGGGCAGCAATTTACTGATGTAATAAGTCACTTCACTGCCCTTACCACCACCAGAGAGGCTCTAACTCATGTCCAGTCGAGCTCATCTTTGGTTGAGCGCCAGCGGCGCTGTAGACGTCTCTTCTCTCCTTTCATCTCCCTCGGCTCCTCTGTAAATCATGGGGAGTAATGGAATCCACAGGAGGGGAGAGGTCGCATGGACGTGATCTGATCCAAGGCCTCAGCTGCCCTCTTATTCCAAGTGGCAACCAAGGCTTCAGATGGACCATGCAGCAGAGCAGCAGAAGGAACCTCCAGCTCCCTCTGAAACCCATCTGAGTCCATCAGTCGTCAGGGGCAGACCAATCTAATGGGTTCAGCCTCCCTGTAGTAGGTACTGGCACTAGAGGATCCCATGGAAATCAGGGCATGATCTGACCATGACCTAGGAGACACCAAAAGCTCCCCCAATTTCAGATCACATAGCCACTGCTCTGACAGGAACACCAAATCTGGAGTGTGACCACTATCACTCCTCGGGCTCTGGATGACCTGGGACAGGCCAATGGCCATCATAGTAGCCATGAACTTCTGAGCCACCTCAGACCCCACTCCAAGAGAAGGCAGATTAAAGTCCCCTAGAACCATAAGTCTGGGGAACTCCTCTGCCAACCCCGAGATGAAGTCAAGGAGCTGAGGCAGGGAGTTTGCTATGCAGCAGAGAGGCTGGTAAAACAACTGATCCCTAGAGCCCAACCTAAGGAATAGAGTCTCACATCTGGGGAACTGTGGGGCAGTGCTCCTGAAAGTCATAAGTGATTCTGAGATGACAATTGCCACATCCCCACCCCTGCCCCAGACTCTTGGTTGATGCCACATCCAAAACCCCACTGGGCATAGCTCAGAGATGGCTACCCCCCCACACACACACACCCCTTCTGGACCAGCCAGGTTTTGGTAATGCATGCCAGGTCGACCCTCTCATCAATGATTAAATCATGAAGGGTGTAAACAACTTCATATCCATATTCCCCAAAGCCCCTGTTGTGGATCTTTAATGTGGACAAGGACTTGCCATGTTTCTTAGCGTGTAATTAAGAGCCATCCTGTACAGATATTTTTTCTACAGGATAATTGTATGTATCTTGTTCATCTGATTATGGGCATTCTCATTGCTGACAGAAATCTGATGTTACATAGACCTGTCCAATTATGTGGAGATTTTAAAGGTTCAGAGTGGGTGTATTTTTCCTTAAATTGTGATTATCATGAACTTTCATAGCATCTGTTCTCAAGAAGACATCTATTTTTTAGCTGTATCATGTTGGCCTTGAAATAACATTTTTGCACATTTCCATGGGAATCAAAGGCATAAGTACAGGTAGTCACCAGTTTAAGAATGAGTTCCATTCCCAAGGTCTGTCCTTCAGTTGAATTTGTATGTAAGCCAGAACGGTATTATTGTATAATACTGTATAAATAGTATTGTGTAATGAACTCAAATCATTGTGCATTTAACTCCAATTTTGCTACAATAGGCTCCGTTCTTAACTATGGGCAACCTGTAACCCGGGCGTTCTTAACCTGGGGAACTACCTGTATAGGATGGGGGGACTATATTGGGCAACAAAGCTTGAGAAAAG